AGCGCCCGCCCGCGCCTCGCGCCGGCCGTTCCCGCCCGAACCTTGCCGAAGCCGCGCGCGCGCCCAGCTTCTCCCCAAGCTCCACACTGAAGGCGAGGAGGAATGGGCTTGCAATGGAGCAAAGGAAACGCAGCTGAGGTGCTGTGGGAAGGGAATTCAGAGGCAGTTTGAAAGAAATTAATGGTATCACTAGTTAAAAGGAGAAAACTAGTTAAAAGGAGAAATTATGGTTTGTGCCTCATAATGTAAGGAACAGAGAGCTTACACATCCTATGAAAATAGCTGGGTACCCTCCGGGGTGATAGCTGAAGAAAAGCGCTTCTTTTTCACTTCATTTAAAGTACAACATTTCTTTTTTATTATTATTTTTTTTTTTCCCAGGGGGTATATAAAAATTTCACCAGTCTATTTTTTCAGAGCTAATAAGCATATATTGCAGGGTACTTTGATGCAGATACTATACAGTGAAATATTACACACTGCCTTTTGGAGGCAACTGGCATTGATGGTCAGAATGTGCCTTTTGTTATTTCACTAATAATACTTACAGAATAAACTATAACCAGACTGAGTCTAATCACAGGACTATCTCTAGACTCAGCCCACAAAGTTGTGCTGCATTCCTGGCTCACTGAAAAAATACTGGGTGACGTGACATTTGAGGGTCTGCTGGGCTTCTGAGTAGTCTCATCTGTACCTCAGAGTAGTTTCGAGCAATATTCCAATATCCTGGACTTGCAAGTTCATCCCTCCAGAAGAATAAAAATACATCTTGTTGTTAATGAAGAATGCAAGTAGAGGAAAATACACTTCAACAGAGAGAATTTCCATCTGCTAGTACAGAGCAGCTTGATTACAGCTTTTTTTCCCAATGTGCTGCTTTGGTCATGCATTATTTTTTCAGTCCTGATGTTTCAGTAATAAAACTTCATCTATCATGCAAAACCAAGAATCACTTCCAAATCTGCTTTTGTGGTTATGTATCTGACTGGGAGCCTCCAGTGACAAAAACCTGTTTCTACTTTCAAAGTAAAGGCTGGTAGCTCCCGAGAGCAGCTTAAAGAGCCATTCACAAGATAATGCCACGATACAGAATGCTTTAGCTTGAGGAAGGTTACAGTCACAGAAATCATCAGGCACTAAAAAGCAGCAACTAAATTCTTTCTGTGTGAAATAGTGTTAGCAAACAGTAAGTCACTGGCCAACAGGAGCTGATGTTTGCAAATTCAGAACAGCTGCCCATGGTGCTTGTTTATATTTTTGATAGCTACAATTTTTGAGAAGTTTTTGACACACAACTGGGAAAAAGATGATCCTGCATCCAAAAGCAGTTTGCAGCAATGGCCATTTTATTTTAAGCAGACAACATTTTGCCACCCAACCGAGAAGCCTGAGTGTATCTGGATGTCTTTTTCAACTACGATTGGGCAGACGTTCACAGGGGAGGCAGAGCCACACGAGAATGCTTCCCCCTGTTGAATTTCAGGACTGCATCCAAAAAAGTGCCAAATTCACATGGCTCCAGTCATCTGTCCTGAAACATACCAAAACTTTTTAACTTTCTTTCTTGAAAGCTCAGGGAAGTTGTGAACACTCTGAACACAAGATCTTCCAACAAAGTCTTCAGAAATCAGAGAGACAATTACACCTTTTTTTCCCCACAGTATATTACAAGTTTAATTGTGCAAAAATACAGTCATCAAGACTTGAGCTTTGTTGTGAACTGAACACAACTCCTGTGATGTACAGGCATGGAAAGAGGTACTACTGCAGTTAGAACAAGTATACCGTACTTGTTGTTGAGACAACCAAGTGGTTCAATACACTGAGATACTGTTCTCAAGTGATTTAGACAACCTGTATTTACTGTACATCAAGAGAATCAAAGGAATGATACCTAAAAGGAAAGACAGTAGCAGACTAATGAAGTCTAAGACTGCATTAACTCAAAAGAACATCAAAAAATGGTCTAGACAGATTCCGCAGTGATGGCCAAGAATTAGCCTGCAATACAACAGCGGTGAAGCGTAACTCCTCTTCAACACAGTGTATATATAAAAAAGGTATTCCTATGCCAGTATTTCTTTCAAACACAGGAAGATGAAGCATTAACAACCTTTAAAATTGTATTGCAAACCATGAGACACCAATGGCATGGCAAAAGAAATAGGTGAGGGGAAAAACCAACAAAACAACCACTTTCAGAGCTCAGCCCTCTAGCTCCACCACTTCATAAAACAAAAAAAAAACCCCACCAAAACAATATATATGAAAAAGAAAGATATTGCTGAATCCCCTCGTCCCCATTAAAATCTTCCTGTAGTGCCTGCATCACTGAGGAAAAGCAATTCCTCTTCATGTTTTAACACAACCAGATTGAACACGTGTCATGTTACATGCAGCTACTTTTTGGTTTTAACAAATCTACGTGCTTCTTTTAAAAGTGTTTCAGCATCTTCGTTATCCTTGTCTTCTGAACTTGGTTCCCAGTCAGAGTCTTCATCAGTAGGATCGCATTCCTCTTCCTCATCATCTATAAAGCTGTCATTAAGGTCATATTCATTTGGTTCATCATCCTTGGCACTGTCTTTCTCCACAGCCCTTTTTCCTGTAGGGACACAAATATCATATATTCATGAATCATAAATACAGAACGAAGGAGAGCTTCCAGAGGCCATCTAGTTAGTTTCTCTCCTCAAGAGGAGAGAGAATCTACTAAAGCACTCTATCCAATGCGGACTATTTTGGCTCCTGACTATTTTCAGGACTTTCATGAAAAGCTGTACCATCTCTCTCTCTTGACATCTACTGCAGCACTTACCAGTCTGATCACTTCCAAAGTTTTCCTTACTGGCTTTTCTTGCAGCACCTGGAAAACAGTATCAGGTCTCATCTGGTAATGTCTTCCAATATCAGAAGATGACAATATCAGATAATGTCTTCTGATAACCCTCCTTTCCTGTGGCACACACAATTTTCCTAGTGGTCTTCCTGCTACTTTTGTACCTAAAAAAATACATCTATCTGGCCTTTTAGCCTCTAGGCGGCTATTCTGACCCTAGATTTTCTGCCTTTATCCATCCATACTTACTCAGGGCCATTTTATACTCACACCCTTTGGAATCTGACATGGCTTTTAATTTCCATTTGCTTCTTTCCTGAGCTTCAGGTGAGAGAAGGGTATCTGCTAGATCACTCACCTCCTACGTGGGGTCCACACTGGATAGATAGTCTGTGCTTCCTTTCTGAACAAGGGTTAAGGAAACGACAAACGCAGAACAACCACTCCTGCCTGATTCCCAGTTCAGCCTGTTCTATCACACTGCTCTCTAATCTGCTGTCCATCCACCTTCTTCACAACTTACATTTTGTGATCAAATTGCCTTCTGCTTTCATAGTCTTTCACAATGCTCTGTATTGGCAGGAATCAAAGACTTTGAAACCTCTATTTACAGAAACTGATGTTGTTCACAGCATGTACCTAAACTTTTTTAGACAGCTTGTCTTGCAGTATTCTTTTAATTGCTCACATATGTTGTTACATTTAAACTGATTCCCAAAGGCAGGATAATTCTGCTGCTTGAAGAAGTCTTATCTATCTGACTTGGTAGTGTCCATAGAAAGCTGCTGCCACGGCAGCATTGCCTTCTCCTTTTATTTATCAGTAAACCTTCAACAAGTTTATTTCCACTGCTTCCTGATTTTGGCAGATGTGTGTAACCCTTGCTTTACAAGCCTAAGTTATCACCCCTTTTCTTACACGTCCACAATTCCTAACTAGCCACACTCTGTTAATATTCCAGTCGTGTGATTCTGCCCTTAAGTCCTAGCTCTGAGCAAAGCCATGTTCTTTCCTCTTCTTCCCAGCCTCCAATCTCTGCATTCTTCTCTCATCTAGAGGTAACCTGTCAATGTACAGATAATTTATCTGTTGAGCAGTTCTTACCATCTTTCATATGAAGCTCTAAACTATTTTTTTCCCTCAGCTACGGACCACAGTCCAAATCATTAACATTTATATTAACCACAAGCATTTCTTACGAACTTCTTGCAACCTCAGGTCAGAGCCCCAGGCACGCAAGTTATGCATGTGGTGAACAAATGAGAACACCAGTACCTGATGGCATCAGACCACATCCTCTACCAGTTACATGTTTCTACTAGTGGGAACATTACTATTCCAGAATTATCTTATGGCTTGATTAACATTTTATACTCTATAGCAACTCTCACCCAAGGTTTTCAAAAGCACTCACAGTATTAGTCAAGTTTCTCAAAGATACAGAATTTATGGGTGAATTGAGACAGAGCTACTGTAGGAATTCTGGCAAAATACTGATTACTTCTGTATTTTTCCTACAAATGTATGAGGAGCATACTATGTTTTTCCCTCCCTGCACATGAATGCTTTTAGATTTCAGTAGTGAATGATGCACTTCCTTCCACGTCTTCCCACTCCACCTCTTTCCGCTATAGTTTAACCCAACTCCACAGCCCCTAAAGCTGCTCGTTAAGCACAATTCTGCCTCTTCCCTAGTACTATATTTAAAAAGATGACCTTGAAACTTTCTCTGAAAGCATCTGCTCCGTGTGGGGAGAAAAAGCTTGCTCACCACCCCTTTCCGAGGTGGTTTTTTCTCACTTCCACTTGAGATGTAGCAGTTTCACATCCTCCTGCCTTGTTCAGGCCAGAGAAAGTGAAGATGGCATATCGTCAGACTTTCAGACTGCTCTTTAAAGCTCACTTTTAAATTATTTTAGAAAGAATAGGAAGCTTCACATTTGGAAGCTGAGGCACAAAAAAAGACTGGAAACAGACCTAAAGGGTATTTAAAACTGGAGTCTTTGCACCCACAACATATAAGTTAACACTGTTGACGGCGGCACAGCAAGCTATGTGCACCACTGGTAAATGGAGCAGGTATTTGTACACAGTATTATAATTCACATTTTCAAGAGAGACTACAGCTTGCCTTTGCTACTACATAATCCTCACTGATGACTAGAAACTAAAATAAGAAGGATACATACATAATTGACAGTGACAGCTGCCCCCAACTCAAAGGCATTAACCTTCTATACTTGAGTCCTAACAAGCCAGGATCTTACTTGAAACATCAATACCTCACAGTAAGTATAAGAAAAGCTCATCAGCACACTTCAAAGTGACTTAAAGGTCAGTGGAATGCATCTCAATGTTTCAAGAGCAATCAATCTTTATGGAGCAACCTGAACTAGTTGTGGATGAAATACTGGCGTCCTTTCACCCTATTATGACCCCTGTGCAAGGAAGGAAGAAGCTATTTAGCCACATGTGTGTCTCCTTAAAACATTTGTTTGTTTTCTTGTCTGCTTCCAGGGAAGTACAGGTATACTCAGCCAGGAAGCCAGGCACAAATTCAATTTCAGCACTATTACTTGTAAAAAAGCAAGCAGGGTTTTACTAAAATAATGACTCCTTTCTCCTCAGGTAGGTATTGTCATCTCCAGCACTATCAAATGCCCAAAAAACAAAGCAGATTATTTGTGTCCCATGCTGATGTGCCCATTCATGACATCAGAACATACTCACCATTCCTTGAAGTTCGTTGTCGGGTTTTTTTTTCAGTTACTAAAAAAAGGAAAGTTATTAGTCAGGACAGAGTAACACATAGCATAAGGGTTATTCACAGATGTTGCTACTGTAAAAGACTGACCTATTAAAATAAATGCTGCAGTGACTGTATTTACAAGCATAATAACTCGTCTCAAAAACCCCCAAAACCCCTTTTTTTCTATTTAGTAATTCCCAAGATTAACCAGACGAACAGTTCTTACAATTACGGACCATTCCATCTGTAGACAAATGTCATCAATACTGTTTGCTGATTTTTTTAGCAAGGAATTAGAATATTTCAAAGTGTTTAAGTATTTTACATTGTTTCCATAAATGTAATTTCTCCTTGATAATGTCATAATCCTGATTCTTCAAAGTAAAAATGCATTATCATTACATTTCCACAACTGTTCTGCTCTGAAGTATTGTTTATTGCATTGGGATTTCAAGTGGAGAACATCTTCAAGTCCAATAATAAAGAAAAAACACAAAAAAATGCAAAGTATCTCTTTGAATTCTTTAAGAACAGAAAAAACGTAAACAGTACACCCTCTGTGTTTTTCAACAAGTCTAGTTACTGGAACACAAAAGACTAGAAAATTTTAGAATAGAAACTCAGATTCAGTTTTAATTATATTCCCTCCAAGCCTCAAAAGAATGTACATGCAAACATTTGTTCTCTCAGTGCGAAAATCACTGGTCCAGAAAAAAAATAAAAATTTACATCACAAGAATTTAAAGTTGTATGTTAACTGAGTATTTCCTATCAAAGAAAAAAAGAATAAATAGTAAGTAGGAAATCTTAAGATACAAATCTACACAGTTGAAATGTCACACTAAAAACAAAACAAAGCAAAACAAGGGGAAATGGGTTTAAGCTGAAAGAGGGGAGGTTTAGAATAGATATTAGGAAGAAGTTCTTCACTGTGAGGGTGGTCAGACACTGGAACAGGTTGCCCAGAGAAGCTGTGGCTGCTCCTCCCTGGAAGTGTTGAAGGCCAGGCTGGATGAGGCTTTGAGCAACCTGGTCTAGTGGAAGGTGTCCCTGCTGATGGCAGGGGGGTTGGAACTGGATGAGCTTTAAGGTCCCTTCCAACCCAAACCAGTCTGGGATTCTATGATTCTATGAAACCATGTTTAATTTTCAATAAAACCTCTTGAGCTCATGAAAATGTCCACTTGCCACACAGCATTTTTGTCAATATGTAAGATACAAAACATACAACCTACATCAACTGTGTCTGACTCAGCTCATCTCACTTCAGTTGCAAAACATTTGAAAAAGCGAGTGCACATTTGCGGTGGCCAAGCAACTTTCCTCATCACAGAGGAGGGCAAGACCTCAGGCTTCAGGAGAGCAGGGGCGCGGGGCAATGCCAGGTAAGCTGTGAATGCAGCGTTATTCACTCGGAGCAGCTGAAAGCATTTTAGTCCAAACTCTCAGTATCCATCACTGGGGTCTGGGGGTTTTCCCCACACACACACTCTGAGCTATAACTGAACTTCTTGTCTTACCTGGAGGCGCGCTGTGCTTGTATTCTAGCTTGTGCTGTGGATTCTTCCTGCAAAGAAGAAAACAGTAAAAGCTTGATTCGCCACCTACTTCCACACTTAACAAGCTCAGAGCTCCTTGGTATTTTATGGATAATTTTAATTTCTTTTTAAAATAAAATTCTGTGACCAGTACCTTACTGCAATGACTCAGCTTGTAGAATGGAGGGTGGAAAAAAAATCAGGTTAAATAAGAATTCCTCCTGTTTCAGCATTAAAAAAATGGTTGACTGATCAAAACCAAGAGATGAGAGTGTTTCCAAAGTTGTAAGATGAGATTCATTTGTTCAGCGGAGTAAAAATTGATCCAATTATTTACTCTTAGGAAAAATGAGACCAGAACATAACTTCTGGTGCATTAAGTACAACGCACGCACAGTGCGTCACAGGTCTGACACATCCAGGCATAGCTTCCATATTCTGCAACACAAGGCTACAAATTAAATAGTTTGGAAAAATGAAAGAATTTGGGAAGAACTGCTTGTCTGGAAGGAGCACAGGGAGCGGCCGCAGAAGGATTCTGCAGAGAGACTATTTATGTCTGCAGTTTGCTGCTGCAGTCCAGCAAGCTCAATTTACAAGTGTGTAGGTCTTTGTATTAAAAAACAGCATCACAGCAATGAAAGAAAAATGTAAAAGTCAACTTACTCTTGGATCTGCAATACACGTTCCCTTTACTCAGGCTGTGATCCAGTTCATTAACACCCTGATTTATCCCCCCTCCAGTTATCCAGTGATGTTCTAATGCTTTAACTTGGTCCAACTTACACTGTGCTAACCTGTCCTGTTGGCGTATCGTAGGCTTTTCTCGGGGCTGCACGTTAAAATAGTTTCAACCCAATTTATTTTTGTGCAGAAAATTTCAAAAATTTCTAACTTTGGAAATAAAACAGTTCAGTTTGTCCTCATTTTTGCTTCTGAAAATAAGCAACAATTAAAGCCCAATATTTAAGAACGACATATCATGCAACATTGCTTGAAACTGGAGATTCGTATCTGCAACTACAGAAGTTTTTGTATATTTCACAAAACACCCTGGCTGTGAAGACTGCCTTGTAAAACTACTTGCTTGTTTGTTTTCTTATTCTTCAGAAACAGAATATAGTTACTCTTCCATAGGAAAAAAAAATTTTTATGTCAAATAACTTGTGAAAAAATCAGACACTTCAAGTTGATTGACAATTCTATAGCTGCTGCTACCCCAAAGGACATTATGTGTGCATTAGAAGCGATAGTTAGCTGAATTAAAAAAAATATATCAAAGTACAGCTTCCTATTAAATACACTGTACTGAAATAAAAAGAATTGCCTATTTCCATTTTTTACTATCATCAGACCATTTTATCCTAACTCAAGGCACAGCATTTAGATCATTCAATTATGCTCCCTTCAAGTATCAGCCAGCATATAAAGACAACAAATAAAAGTGTAAAACCTGGGCCTCAAGAAACAAATGGAATAAAACAATCTTTTGAAGAAAATCAACAGTGCTTAAAAGAAACTGCAGTCAGCCATAAAGTGGATTTTATTGCCGTTACCTAAATTATGCTTTGTTAGAATACTGATTAAAACAGAGTTTTTGTATAAAATCTCAACAAATTCTTTATCAAAATTTAAAATAAGTTATGTATCAAGAACAACATGCAATAAATTATTGTTTATATTTAAAAAGAACAGTTTGCTGCATCTTGACAAGTGAAAAAGTGTTGACTGCTAGGTCATGAATAGGTTCCATAAGTAAAGATTTCATGTTCAGCACCTGAAATCACTAACAAATATTTGGCACAGACTCTGGCACTTTGAAGGTAGCAGGCTGTCCACAGCCAATGTCTGAAGGCAGCGAGGCTTTGGAAAGAGCCATAACAACATGCTGCATTCAAGACTTAACTCATTATTCTGTTGTCATTTTGTAACAGCTGAGAGAACAGCAATCACCTGTAAAACAAGAAAAGCCATTTTGTACAGTGCTCCTTACCTGTAACAAGCGGTTCCATACGGGCATTCCGGCCGGTTATCATTGCTACCTGGAGTTCCGATCTCTGCTTCATGGTAGTCATCATCATTAGGGTGACTGAACTGCTGAAAGTGAACAGGATTCTTCCTGCAAAAGACAAAATATATATTGAGAAGTGATTGTTCCATTTGAACATGACAAGTGGAGCTAAGAAAGACGTTACTAAATCAGTGACGACTCATTTTTCTGTGGTTGCATAAAGAGGAGCTTTGAATGTTTGACTCTCTGCAGAACGTAACACCTCCTTTCAGGATAACAGAAGAAAAGCTTTTTCCCTGCACACCCTGCAGAAGAGGTTAAACCAGGAATTCTCCTATTTGCCATCAGCTTTAAGTTTCAGACCTCCAATACATACACAACCTACTGATTTAGTCATATAGCAAGAATCTTACTGAGTGGATGACTTTCTCAGTTACAACTCCCTCTGGAGCCACCCAAGTGCTGCAGAAACTCATACTTGAAGCCTTAGCTCAAGCTGGAAGGGCCAATGTACAGCAGCTGAACAACTGCGGTAGGAAAGACCCCCCACACCCTCGGGTAATTGCATATTAGCTTCAGCTGATCTGTCTCAACTATTATTTCTGTTCTGTATCCAAGTTACTACTCACTCGAATCCTTCAACTGCCAGCGTGTTATTCCAGACAGAGCAGTCTTCTGGACATGACCCTCATCATGCTGTCAAGTTGGGTTGGCTACCATGACATTTTATTTGACATATCAAATCACAATGATGACACAAAGTTGTACCATAAGACATAACAGCTCTGCATGTAGTTCAGTCACACTAGTGTTTGTGATGAGAGCACATTACCACCATCCATGACTTATTGCTCTACAACACTTACGCAGCTGAACCCAAGGTGAGCAAGGAGTGAACACAAATATATGTACGCATCACTGAAAGAACATTCCTACTGCTTCTAGGTTTGCATACACACCATGCAACACATGGCAGCTATAAACACCACCACGAAGAGAAGAGTTTGCGTTACAGAACTTCTGTAAGTGATGTTAAAAAGAACTCAGAAAAACAGGTCACGACTTCAGGAGGAATTTATGTGACAGACCAAAACATACTACAAAAGTTACGTCAAAGCAAACATACTGGTACCGAAAGCAAATCTACTTTTTCCTTATGACTTCTCTTAGACACACTTTTTTGCAAGCATAACATTTAAAAGTATGGAATGTGAGATATTTTAATAAATTATTTTCCAAAAGACATCCACAAAATACTTCATTGATTTACCACACTAATTCCCAAAGTACATAATCTTCAATGCATTTGTGCAAACTATAAAAGTGAACTGCTTGTGTCGGACAAGAGGAATGACAGCGTTTAACTACAGTGTAATTACTGCTTTAATTTACGCTTCAGAAACAAAAAGCCAGAAACATGTACATAGCTAGCTACATACAGCACAGCTTCCTCACTGATCACAGGCATTCCCTCCTTTAAATTCACAGCCAGCTCTATGAACTTTACAGGGAACAGTCAATACTAATGTCAGCATTTCAACTACCACCATAAGAAAAAAGGCTTTTGTTACAGCTTTTGCAGAACAATTGCTTAAGCACCGTGAGCTCTACCAGCCATTCAAGCCTCCTTTTAGACACTTCAGAAAGATATTTAGTATTATTATTTTAAAACTCCATTTGCCTGGTATCTTTACTCAGGAAACTCAACAAGCAAGCTATGGATAAACTCTTCAATGAGCTACTTATCAAAGATCCAGTGTCCCTTGGATCTGTTTACAGAGGTGACAGACTTCTTGTCCTGGTCTGTTCCGGTAATTGCTGCAAACTGTAAGGTAAGTAAATACTGTTTCACTAGAAGTCACTGCATTTACCAGTCATTTACTCTCAGGAAATACCACTTACACCAAATTCAGGCTGGCTGCCTATTTTTCCTATTTAAAAATAAATGGGACAAAACCAAGTCATTTTAGAGGCTACTTCCTTTGTTTTCTGAAGGCACAGAGCTAACTTATTAGCAATAATAGAAAGAGTCACTTGAGACACAATTCATCTTCTCTAAGGGACACAGAAGCAACTCATGTTCTGTGAAGGCATTTTTATATTTATTCTTACAATAAGATACATGTAGCATCATAGTCACCAAGGAAAGAAGGTCTAACAGCTGTTATTTAACCATTCTATTGTATTTTAGGAGATATCCATTTCCTCTCAACGACTTACTTTGAAACCTACTTGGACAACACCAAAAAGTCCTTATTGGGGGGGCAGAGGAAGAAAGAAAATAGAAGAAAAAAGTAGTATGGGAAGAAGAAGAAAGAGAAACAAAAGGATTTTGATGTACAGTCCCTGTTACAAGATTCTTTGGGATAGTGGATGATGCTCCTCAAACTATGCATTATCTGTGAAGCATCTTAAACACGTCCTGCTTCAGTTGCTCAGGACTAGTAGAAACATCACATTTTGTCTTACCTTTACCTGGATAATTTGTACTTATTCACTTCTATGTGTTGTGCAACAATATCCACCTAAATAAACAGAAGCAGATAGGTGCATAGCTTGTATTAAGCAAACATTTTCCCTTCTTTTAAAAATCTAAAGCTTCTTCCTTTTATTAAGGGTTTGGTTTGTGAGGTTTTTTCATTTTTTTTAGACACAAGGGATTTGAGTTGTAAGAGCACAGCATCTATCATGCCATGAGCTGCACTTCAGAGTTAAGCAGTTTCAGAAAAAAAACCCTCACTCCACAGGAATATGTTATTCATGTGATCAAAACAAAATTGTTAAGCTTTAACCACACAAAAATTAACCAATTAAAAACCTATTTTAAAAATAAATTTTTACAGGAGACTTGCCTTCTCATAAACATACACAGTTACTGCAACTTTGTTTCACAGAAGCTCTGAATTTGTGTACTCACACTTCATGATGCAGAAAATCATACAAATAAAAACTGTGCTAATAAAACTGGTAAAGTTCTTCAGAATCAATGCAGTCATCTCAAGCAGAAGTTGGGTATTGCTCAGTCAAATATATAAGACAGTTTTTTGTCTGTGCAGCTACCACAAACAACTTAAAAGCTTTTTCTAAAGTAAGTTGAACTGATTAGGTGAGAATCCCTGGCTCTTCACAATCGCACGCAGAAGACCCTGCCATCTCATGGGCTTATCTTCTCAGCTGCTAAAGAAACTGGCAGTGAGATGTAATGAATTACCAGCACTAGTTATAAAGCCACAGAATTCAAGCCTGAAGTTATGCCACAACTACAGGCAAGATGTTTTAAAGTTCTAAATTTTAAGTCTTATTAGAAGACAGAACTCAAAAATAAGACAGATGCAGGTCTTCAGCTGCCAGATTTACAAGCTCGAGGTGAAAGGAAGAATACTCACTTCCATACACAAAGGGCAGCATGTTTAGAAGAATGCACGTACAAATCCAAAGGCTGGTTGAGCGTGCCCTGCTCTGACAGCCATGGGAAAGATCTGCACACACCCAGTCAGCAGAGCACTGGATCACAGGCTAGCAAAAGGATAAACTGTGAGCAAAACCTGGATAAACTGTGAGCAAAACCTGGATAAACTGTGAGCAAAACCCGGATAAATGACATTTTATGAATAAGAAACATCACAGGAAAACTCAATACGCTGTCAGTGCGTTCCTTCAGAGCACCCATTCACGTCACACTTGTGTCCATGGTCTGTTAGAAGGCTGGGGAAATGGAAGGACTTGCTTTACTCTGTCCCATTGCTATCCCATCAATGCAGAGAGACTGCTTGGGGCTCTTGCATTAAAAGCAAATACTAAGACATATGACAAAGCACATTTCCTTTGCTGCAAACAAGAAGGTTTAATCTCACGGCATTTCCTGAAGATCAAAGCTGACGTTTTTGATACGTCACCTTTACAAATTTCTCTGACACAGATTTGGTTATGTGTTATTTCAGAGCGTTCTTTTTTCTTATATATAAAGCAGTACCTCCCAAGAGCATTGCCGCCAAATGTTTGTGAATAAAGACTCCAGAAGAAACGTGCACATGCAGACTCCTATTCCATAGTATCTGTAACTAAAATTTGTCTTCCTAAACATTAAGAATCCTTCAGCATATCAGAGCATTAACTCAGCTTAACCCCCATGCAGGGGAAAACATATCTGAGCAAAATTAAAAGGAGCTGGAGCAAACTAGAGGTTGCAGCTGTACTACAGATCAGTTTAACTGCCTAATAAAACATGTTTTCATCATATTCATTAAGGGCAAAAATTGAGATATGTGAAAGGAAGCTACATGAAAACTGGAAGTGTGATGTGTTCATAAACACAACAGCTTTATGCTTTTGATTTATAGTTATCTGCAGCATTAGGCACACCAAACATATGCAAGAACCCATTTACTTGTGCTTGCTTGTTTTCTAAACTACCTTGCTGGTTTTGCTATTGCTCAAGGCCCCTGGGGGAAGAAGAAAAAAAAATTAAAATAATAATAATTTTTAAAAAAAACAAATCACAGGACCCCATTTCCTGGATTAGCCATACCTTTTGTGTTTACAATGTACATGGAATTATCTAGAGCTCAGAACCTTCTCCTAAATGCAGCTCTCGGGTCACCAGTCACTTGCTAGCCTCAAGCACACCTCTGGATTTGTATCTTCCCTTCAGCATATCAACACAGGGCACTCCAGACCTTTTCTGAGCAGAAAGAACTAGCAGGAGGTCAGGCACTCAGCACTGGTGCTTTGGAACTTCACTGGAACGTCTGTATCGCACAAAACATTGGTATGACAAACCTTTCACTATGAAATGAAAGGATACAGGTAGGAGAAAAAAGCTTGTTCTTCACTTTGAGGTATTACTAAGACACTGACCAGATAAGGGTTAACATGGAGTTTATAAGCATGCCTTGTTCTGGTTTTAGGGGAGGGCTGAAAGCTTTAAAAAAAAACAAACCCAAAAAACTAAAAAAAAACCCCCACAAACCAGTCAAGTTATAATAAAACTAATTCTTGATTATTTAGGGATGACAAATAATAACTATTTTAAATATGCACATCACAAAGCATGTAGTAACTTCAATAAATACAATCATCATTCATAACAGTTTCATCAGCTAATAAAATAAGCCTGCAGGGTCTATGTTGGGCATCTCAACCATTTACATCTCTTCTCTCTGCTGGTACCTGTACTGTACACACCAATTTTTTATTTTTTTATTTTTGAAATGGACCTTTGTTTCTTATTTCCTGCAACACTTCACTGTTTAATTGGCCGAAGTACTTCACCCTTGTTTGGGTTATAAACAGTTACCAGAACATCCTGACTCTTCCTTTTGCACTTTAAAAATTCTCGTTACGCCATTTGTTTCTCATCAGTCCTCTGTTTATCAAAAGTTTTCTTTCAAATCAAAGCCTGTAATGACTTTACTGTTTTCTCTTCCATAGCTAACACATCAGTTTTTAATAAGAAGCTATCTTAAGCTAGTTTTAATTTTGGTTTACCTGTAACAGCCTGTTCCATACATGCAAGGTGTCCTCTTACGCTTGATCTGTCTGGAGCTTTCTGAAGTATCTGCACTTCTGGTTGAATCAGAAATCTCAGTCTTGGAATCCAGATTTGCATCAGGCTCAAGAATCCCTTCCTGGGCACCCAAATATTGGGAAGTCCTGCCCCAGTGAGCTTGTTGGCTTGTAGAACCAGTAATCTGCTCTTTGTTTTCTGTTTCCTCATTTATATTTGTTTTACTGGAGATCTGACCTATTCTTTTAGACCATTTACTATGCAGCTGCCTATCATTTTTTTCCAGAGAACTTCCAGGGTTTTTTGTTCCAGTCTTGTCATTTCCTTCCATGTTTCCCATGGTACTCTCAAGAGGAAATCCAGATGTATTCTGTGGAACAAGGTTACATTTTGAAGGACCTGAAAATTTACACTCTTCAGAATTAAAAGCTTTAAGGTCAGACGCTGCCTCATTTCATCATTGTGGTTTTCAAAATCAGAGAATCACAGAACAGCCCAGGTTGGAGGGGACCTCAGAAGATCATCTGGTTGAGCCTTTAAAATCTTCTACTCCACTTTCCAAACTCAAGTTAGCTGCTAAATACAGCTGCTGAATGAAAGGCTCAAGTTGAGCACACACACACACACAATTTTAAAAAAACTTATCTCAGAGCTCCTGTCCTCAACCTCAGCCCCCTCACAACACAGTCAGGCTCCTCTCTCAACACCACACTTTGTGACTAGTCCGAGGACATTAGCTTAAATTAACTTTCAATTAAAAGAACTGCTCCTGAAAAATGAGTGGGAGTTATACACATGGAGATACAGTAGATTCCAGAAAAATGTACATTCCTAAACAAGAATCAATTTTAATCCCTTAAGTACCAAGGTATCCGGGTTATATATATAGTTATCAACATATATGAATCCATGACACACACCCTGAGCTTCATCTCACCCCAATACATCTTAAATGCTTCAGCTCATGACTCTACATCATAAAAGAGTTTGTCAGTAGACACCATCCAGCAATAATTTCACCTTTGACAAATACTGCATTTTAAGTTTTGGATCATTTGTACACTTTAAAATATAGATGTGTGCTTTAGAAAAAGAATATGAGATACATAACCAAGAGAGGAACATCGTCCCGACAAATGAGACGTTACCTGGAAGCACAGCTTTACTGAAGGCTGAACTGCTTGGATACACTACAGAACTATCCAAAGGCCCCTGCTCTCTACAGTTTATTATCTAGGTTCCCCCTCCAGTAGATTTATACTTAGTTTACACGGATGTGTTAATCAGCTGGTGGTTTCCTATGTGAATGTTGTTCTTTTCAGTGCAAGTTTCACCAAACATTAACCAAAACCAGAAACAATTACCCTTGAGTAGCAAAGTGATTAAGAAAGGGCAAAGTTAGCATTAATATCAAATGATCCTGACAGCAGCATGTTTAGTAAGTCAACCTGGAGACAAAGAGGGCTCTTTTAATTGAAACTCCCAAAATAAGGCTCAGCAAGCAAGTGCAGCTTAGGAAATAAACCTTCACTTGGAAAAGGAGGACTAAGTTATTCTAATTTGCCACTCTCACTTATGACTTCTCTACTACACACCTGAACCCACTGCCTACACTGTATATAATTAAACACTTCCGCATTTATGATGATGACTAGTTAAAAACCAGGTGGCAATCAAGGAAACCGGCAACAACAGCACTATTGCACTGGCTGTCACACGTGTATGACCTCACTGCCACCTGGTGGCTGCTGGCCCTCAGAAGAATTAAGATTCTTTTTTACTTCCTACCCTACAGCAGATTTTCCTCAATCACCTTAAATATGACAGCAGGAGAGTAATCTTAGATTTGGTATCAAGATTCCAATATTTTAGAGCTCTCCAATTATTCCTTTTGCTTGCACTAACCCATTATTTTTTTCTGCAAGGTTCTCAAGGCAATTTCTCACACTCTGCTTGAGATAAAAATGATTTATTATTAAATTATTAGGAGCAAATAAGTAAGGCTTCATACTTAAAAATTGCAAAATTAAATAGTTCATTATGTAGTCACTCATAATTTGACAAAGAGAAAATAGCACTGCAGCAGGTATTAACGTACCTAGCCACCAGCTGAGCTCACCACTCACAACACTTTCAGAGTAAAAGATACCATGTTAGATCAAACCTACCCTGCAGGGTGTGCTCTCCGTGAATAGATCATCTCAATTAACCTTAATATTTAACTAAAAACCAAAACCAGCCCCAGCTGTTTTCAGTGTCAAAACCAGTGAAGCACACCAAATAACAGTGTTGTAGGTATTTTATATTGTAAGTATTTTATCAGCTCCTAGAACAGATCCAGGCAGTTCTAATGCCAGAGAGCAGAAACACTTCCCCAGGTTGTTCACTTAAAGGAAAAGCCAGTGAAAGCCTCATTTTGCTCCCACCAGAATGTTTTGTTTGTCTTTGCTAAGGATGCTTCTCTTTCCATTACTAGCAGGGTGCTATCAGTAGGTATTTCACTGACTATAATGCAGCTCTACTTTCCAGACACACTGAGCAGCTGGGCTGAAGTGTGTGTTCACTCATTGCCACAGACAGGTTTGGATTTCAAACTACTTTTTTTTTCCTTTCATTTTTTTGGACTCGTATTTTGAGACAGTAGCATAAGCACACTCCCTGGTATCTTTCTTCAAAACACAGAAGTTGCTAAACCATGCACCATAATTTTCTGACCATAAAACTTCACCAACTAGAATGGCCCTAGTTTAGGCAAAGTCCAGTGTCACATTCATACCATCACCTGTCCCTAAAGGGTTCTCAGAAAAAGAAACCACACACCAAGCCACTCCTAGGCCCAGCACTTCGGCCCATGTCTTCCAGCCTCTTGCTGTAAAGCTGGCAGTCTGGTATTTCTGGGGAACAATCGAGGCCCAGGTCCCAGATCCCAAGAAGGAAGTGCAAGAAAACCAAGTCTCTGAAGTCTCCCAGGATCCTTGCTACAGAGCTGCCCAATGGACTGGCACTTCAAAACAACAGTTGAACAACAAATCACAAGCTGAACACATGGTTATGCTGTAGAGCCAATCTTCAACATGACATTGCCAACTACATTCTCTTTTTTTTTAAATACCATGGTTCTGCCCTGAGCCAAAAAATTACCTGAGATGAAGGGACAGGGATAGAAAGACAGCTTCTTTTCCCTTGATCTTGCTCTTCACCTTCAAAATCCTCTATAGTTTCTTCAGAAGCTAATCTTTTTTTCTGCTGCACACTTACTTCCGATTTTAATGACTCCATGTTAGTTTCTCCCCTTTCTTGGCCTTTTTTCGTTCTACTACCTTAAAAGAAAAACAAAAGTGTACTTTTGGAATGCAACTTTTACAATGAAATCCTGACCTCATCAGAAATCTAAAGCTAAATCAAAGCAGAACACTGGGCAAAAAGCATGAGAAATAGCAGCAGTTGTACACATGCTGTTTCAACACCTTTTTCACCTCCCACCTACAGGAATAACAAGTATGTATGTTTTAGAACGAAGCAGAAGTTTGAGTGGGAAATTTGTAGGAGAACAATAAATACGTGGCAAAGGGCGTTCTGGACATGCACACACCAGCCACAGTTCATACACCTGGACCAACTAACAAAGTAAACTCAGCAGTTGGCACCTAAACCCCATCACACCCCACCACAGAGCAGCAAGCAGGGTGGGGCGTGCTGGCTTCAGCAGAGAGAAAGACAGAAACGCTGTTGTAAATGTATGTTAATGTTAACTTTCCCTCTCTCATTTCTTTAGTCCTCCAGTTCCATCGATAGAATCCACTGGAGCAATAAATGCCTTGCGATAAGTTTGTTGGAGAACGTCTCGTGGCAGCTTTGTAACTTTTTACAAGCTCCCAAAGCCAAACAGGCTAGAAAGTTTTCTGGGGATTGTGCCAAGGCAGCACCCTTGTGTGTCCCACTGATAGCGACTAAACACGGTGTTCTGCTGCTGCTACCGCTCATGCGCCGGAACAGTCTGTCAGCAATTCTCTTTTGTGGGAAGGACGAGAGGAAATGCAATACTATTTTAGCCTCATACTGGTAAGAAACTACCATACTGTGAGCAACTGCTCCTCCTAGGAAGAAACTTTGGACTAGTGATCAAGTTTGATTCAGTCACAGCTAAAAAACGTAACACACGCCACCACCAAAACCCCAACTTTATTAGAAGAATCTGCATTGGGAAGGGCAGTACGTCAGTGACTTAAATGTGGAGAAGGCTTGAAATCAAAGGTACAGAAACTATCTATAATTTACACACTAAACAAAACAGACGAGTTTATAGGAAAGGGCTCCAGAACATCAGATTTTCAGCTGTCCAAAGAGAGTATATTACCTGGCATTAAATAAAAAAAAAAAAAGGAAGGAAAGAAAGAACAGAAAGAACATCAGAAAAAGCACCCACAGGACTGATGGCAAAGGAGACAACAGAAGTCAGTCTCTGTCAGCTGCCAGGCATAGAATATGTAAAGAGAAGTAACAAATTAATACTTTCTACCATCACAATTTAAGGAAATGATAATAATAAATAAATGTCTATTGGTATGCAAATGTACTACACTGCAAACCTACCTCCTTTCATTACAGGCTCAGAAATCCTCTGAACCAGGAGATCTCTTTCCAGCATCCAAGATGGAAGCACTCTCTTTCTTTGAATAGATCTTGACTGTTCGCTTTCATTATCATCAGAAAGAGGCACCTGAAACAATACTTACTGTTTAGTACATTTCTCCAGTTACAAAAGAGGTGGAAAACCTAGAACATGAGTTTGTACACAGTCATGTCCTTCAAATGCACCTTCAGATTACCAGCCACCTTCTGGATGGTGCCCATTGCCTGAAATTTTTTTTATAGTTCCTACTCACTCAGAAAAACAACCTCTATAGGAAAAAAAAAAAATTTAAAATAAAAACCAACCACACCTCCCTAGACCCTTGGAATAAATATCTGAAGTCTACACAGACTGAAAGTTTCATAGAAGAGCTTTACCAGCATCTTGCTATAGAGATTCCACACACAGAAATAAGAGAAAAGGAAGGTTTAACAAACAAATGCCTTTTGTCAAAAAAACCCAGAAAAGTCTTGCTAGCATTCTTCCAAGGCCTCTCTCCAGAAAGGAACCACAACTTTAACCAATTAAATACGCCAAAGTCACATTCAGTACATATTTATGCACTGGAAGTAATAATACCAGTTTGAATGTCTGCTTACTAAAAGGTAAGTATCCCTCCCAGGAAGCTCAGCTAGAGCAAAGGCTGACGTTCCATTTGCTGTAGGTAGTTATTACCAACCACACAAAGATGTTGTTGACCAGTGTCTCCCTTTAAGCACTATCTTGCTGGACACGCTACAGAAGGCCTAAGGAAAATCCCACTGGCTCTATATACTATTTATCAGACTGTCTGAGAGCCATTTTACTCAGCAACATTTTAAAAAAGCAAAAGATTCTTGCTTTGAAAACCCTGCTTTGCTGGATAGGATGCTGGCTGTCAAGGGAAAACTGGAGGGTTATTTATCTGTGTGCTCATCTGGATCTTAACAATACCACTCCAACACCATTCAAATGAAATCAGCTGCTAGTACCTAGAAACAGATATTCTAGGCAGCTCCGGGCATCTGCAGTTCAACTACAGGCTCTCCAGATAGAAATTTCAGAGGCTTTTAGGTTGGCTGGAGAATTGTCATTGCTTCTTCTTGGCCTTCAGAGGTACTTACAGCACAGTTACTGACACAGAGCAGAGACCAGAACTGCACTTTGTTCTGTAGGACCAAACTCAGCTACAACGCTGTTAGTTCAAAACATTCCTCAAGCAATAGCAATTTTTGTACTTTCAAGAGAACAAATTACCACAGCATAATTAGCATAAACATACAACAGAAATACATTTATATACTTGTACAGTCTATAATCTATCAGTAAAACAACATATTTTGAGTACACAACTCTGATTGTCTTAATTTACTTCTCTGGGGGAAAAAAAAAGTTTAGAGAACACAACACTTTTAATTTTCAACACATGCTCACAAATACGAAATTTAATTTTTAAATTAAGCACTCACCAAATGTCTGGAAGTAGCATCATCTCTTCTCATCTTTGCGGCTCCCTGTATCTCAGAGTTGGAACACGCTGGTTCTATTAGCACTGGACCACAAGACAACTCAACAGGACGAACAGTCGGTGCTTCTTCTGCATCAGCCTCCTGATTTTTTCTGAGAAAACAAATTAATTTTTAGCTAGTCAAACTAATCATGAATACACACACGTAATTTTCATTTAAACACAGAAGTTGGTCTGAACATTTGCCATGAATACACTTCTAAACTGAAGGTAATATACTTACATCAACTTACAGAGGAAACAAACGTGCCTTCCTTTCTACCTTCCTCTGAAAGTATTTTGAATGAAAGATTTTCTGACCACTGCTGCAGCGTTTTTAAGTACATCACTTACACTACTGACTGCCACAGCAAAACTCTGAGAAAGCTGAAATTAGAGCTTAGAATTTGCTTTACTGTAAATCAGTGTAACTTCCCAAAATTTCACTCTACACTAACAGTTAGGTAAGAAAGTTGAGATACAGTTTTCAGGACCTGATGGCCCATCAATCCAGCACTTCTCGGCAAGTTGTCACCAAAGGCTACGAGTCTGCAGCTCTGAGGTGACACCACCTAACTCAGGTGCTTGAAGGTGATTTTCAAAGCCTCATCTCAGAGGCACCACACCTGCAGTGCTTTCCAGCTGTGAAAGCCCACCAAAACTCCAACTGGTTTTCCTTGAATGCTTTGCCCTTCCACTAAACTGGCCACAAAACTGGAGAAGGTTTTAGAGGGGAAGGGTATGAGGAGA